TGTGTGTGTGTGTGTGTGTGATTCCATGTGTGTGTGTGTGTGTTGTGTGTGTGTGTGTGTGTGTGTGTGTGTGTGTTGTGTGCGTGTGTGTGTGTGTGTGTGTTCTGTGTGTATGTTAGTGTGTACTCGTTTTCTTTCTATATCTATATCTTCATCTATATCTATGTTTAAATTGTTTACATCTATTTACCTACACTCACACAAACAGACACACAGACATATATAAAATGAATAAACTTTCATATAAATGTCCATGCATCCTTACACATAAAAAAACAGTAAATACACTGTACGTATATCTATATACAGCACATGCACTTAAAAAAAAACATAAACACGCGCAAAAAATGCAGGCCGACAACACACATAAAAGCTATTCATTACTTGTTGAAATTTGTGAACACTGCTCAATTTTCCGGTGACTGATGATGGTGACGATTTCGCTCCCCGTGACTCAACCCTGGCGAGGCTACCCGGGGTCTCTCTCTCCCTCTCTCAATCTCTACCCCTTCTCACCGCCCCCCCTCTCTCTCTCTCTCTCTCTCTCTCTCTCTCTCTCTCTCTCTCTCTCTCTCTCTCTCTCTCTCTCTCTCTCTCTCTCTCTCTCTCTCTCTCTCTCAATCTCTATCCCTCCCCCTCTCTCAATCTCTACCCCCTCTCCCTTCTCTCTCTCTCTGTAACTCTCCCCTCCCATTTTCCTCTTCCTGTCCCTGTCCCTTCTCTTTATCTCTTTCCCTCCCCTCTCCTCTCTTTCCTTCCCACTCCTACCCCTCATCCCCATCCTCCTCCCCTTACCCCTCCTCCCTTCCTCATTTTCCAGCTTCCAGGAATTCCCATCGAAACTTTCTTTCCTCAATAGGAAAAAAAACGACCATTTACATGGAAAGGAAACTACTTCATTATCTGACCATCGACCCATTCATTCATAAATTCAAGCTTCCCATTCACAAAAGCCAATAAGTAACTTCCACGCTGAAAGGCCAAACTACCACCCTGACTATGGGTAAGAGATAGAACATGTGTTTTGATTACTCTATCGATTCATCTTGCCATAAGGAAGCGAAGCGAATAAAAGTGAGTATTTATCTCGAGGTGTGTCATCAATGCTTTCCGTAAAGCTTTGACAATCCTGGAAAAATTGTTATAAACAAAAATTGCTAGAAATGCATTTATACATGTATACGTATATACATCACACATCACACACAATGTGCTTATATGTATGTATGTATGTATGTATGTATGTGTGTGTGTGTGTGTGGTATATATATATATATATATATATATATATATATATATATATATGATGAGAGAGAGAGAGAAATGACAGACAGAGAGACAGACATAGAGACATGGAGATATTGACAGACTCATATATAGACAAACTGATATAGACATAAATATAGATGGATAGATACACACACACACACACACACACACACACACACACACACACACACACACACACACACACACACACATATATATATATATATATATATATATATATATATATATATATATATATATATATATATATATATATATATATATATATATATATATATATATATATATATATGTCCCGTGTACACAGAAACTAAACAATTAATCAAGGGGGTATCACGTGGTTTCATCTCACGTAATATTTGCAAAATAAGCGGATACTTAAAATAAATAATGTAATAGCAAAGATCCAGTATTGCTATTCAGCATTTTCATATCATCTACTAAAATCAAAATACACCATAGCTGACTTTCGGTATTAGAGTTACAAACTTAATATTTCATAACATGAAAAAAAATAAATATAACAGCAACTCACTACCATGCAATTAGAATCACAAACATTAATATCACAACTGTTTTAAGTTTGAACAGAAGCAGTGATGTCTGTAATAATACAATCCTGCTTGTAATCAAAACAAACAACAGTTGTCAAAACACCAAAAACTATCTTAATCACCACAACGACCATTATAAAAAATGTCATCATCGTAAAACACCTACAACAACAAAACCATTTAAACTTTCGACTAAAATATTTACCATGCTGATGCTTAATTCACATCCCAGCACGTTCAAGCATTAAGGATAGGGGAGAGGGCAGTGCGTGTGTGTCTGGCAATCGATTTAAAGGGTAGGGGATGGGTTGCCTATGTGTAAACGAGCTGTAGTTAAAGGGACAGCTGACAGGCCAAGGGGTACCATATGGTTTAAAGGGAGCTGAGGATCACGCGTCGGTTGAACTCAAAGCAAATGCGGTGGGGATGCGATGTTTTCTTTTCGTTTTATTTACTGTTTTTTTTCATTTTGGTTTGTTTGCATTTAAGTCATTTATCTTTTCATTTATTTACATCTGTGGTCAGCTAAAAGTCAATTATTGTATTTTCATTGTGCGTGTATGTGTTGTTTTACAGCGTGTTGTGGTGTGTGTGTGTGAGAGAGAGAGAGAGAGAGAGAGAGAGAGAGAGAGAGAGAGAGAGAGAGAGAGAGAGAGAGAGGAGAGAGAGAGAGAGAGAGAGAGAGAGAGAGAGAGAAGAGAGAGAGAGAATGTGCGTGTGCGTATGCGTGTGCGTGTGTGCGAAGATGTGAGCGTAGATGTATGCGTAGGTGTGTGTCCGTAGGTGTATGTATGTGTGCAGTGTGCGGTGGGTTGCAGTGTGTAATGTAATGCAGTGCATATTTATGTTATGTGTGGCATGATATGTGCTGCATGCTGTATAAATGTACATTATTTGTACATGTGCGTGTGCAATATCGGAGGAAACCCTGTGCATATACAGACACACTAACCTCAACTTGGTCAATACTAATGCACTAACACTCAACCATTCTTAATCAGAGGAACCAACAGGCATGGACATGAAGAAAGTGTGGACTGGATGAAAATTTCATATCTGCTGAAGCAAAAATCATCGCATATGTGATAGACTGGGTGAAAGTTGTGCATTCAAGGTTTTATCTTACAACACTCGCCCGTCTGTCGCACACGCGGATAGCTACATTTTTTTCTCTTAATTGTAAAAAAAAAGAAAGACCAAAACACATTAACACTATGTCACCACAGCCCCACATGCGCTTGGTTCCATTCGCGGTTCCTTCATGACGTCCACAGCACTTCGATACACAGTGTATGTAGGCCTACAGCCACCTCCTCACTGCCACACCAAGACATAAAAGTAACAGCCAGATAAGGTGGTAGCATGTCGGGTATGGATCATGAGGGCTTATATTCCTGCTCGTCATGAGCTGTGGGTAACGTGGCACTGCCGCGTCATGCAGGCACTACACTACCCCGTGGCACTGAACAGGGTGGGATGTTACCTTGTGCGTGAGGCTGGGAGGTGCTGGAGGTGCTGGAGACGGTGTACCCCAGCGGAGGCGATGACGTGGGCACCTGACGTCCCTGGCGTGGTCGAGTGGTAACGAGCTGGCGCCTGTACGTGCTGTGGTGTGCTGGCACGTGACAACGAGTCCCACTACCGAGCGTCAGGTACCAAACACGGCACCGTACCCGCACTGCCACTCACTGTCGCACTTCCTAAATCCACACAGACCTGCAACCGGGTCCTCCTCACAACAGACTGACTGCCCCAAAGGGCCGCTCTCAGTAAAATGGCTACCCAGCGGCACAAAAATCGATACTGGATGTTAGTGGTAGCGTAGGCTGCCCACCACCGCACTGTGCCCCGTCGCTTCCCGCACTGTCTCGCACGCGCGCTCCCTCACTCACGCTCCTCCCCCCCTCGCTCCTCACTGACGTAACACTCCCACTTCCTCACACTGAATTTACGCCTGGTATATCTTTTTATTGGAGGCTGCACTCTTTACTCACATACCCTCAACGTCCAGTGCACGACTGAGTGTGAGGGGAACTCGTTCTTACCCTAGGCTGGTTACAGACTGCTGGGTGAATGAACGGCCAGTCAAGCATAGAGTGGGAGCCACCACCGGAGTCAAGCGAGACTCCGCGGTCAACTCTGCGGCGCTCTTTTTTCGCTTCTCAAAATTCGCTCGCTCTATATATTCATATAAAATTTATTTTGAAAGTAATCTTAGAAAACCCTTATTATGTCTATATCAACTTACCTATTTTTAGATCTTTTCGTAATGCGCACGAGTATAGTTTCTTAGGAGAGAGGGTTGCGACCAAAAAGCGCGCCCGAGTTGAGGGCAGACGAATTTTCTCACCGAGGCATTATTAGTGGGCTCGGCCGCACTTCCATTTCCGACTACCTGGATCTTCCTGTGACGCTGAGACGTTAATGACGTGGATTTCCGTATGCCAAATTGTATCTTCCACGTGGAAATTAATGGTGTGATTAAAAGAGAGTAGAAAAAAAAGAAAGTATGTAGATTTGCGCGTGTATGTATGTATGCGAACATTTGCGATTAATTCAATTCCACGATTTGGTTTAATTTGAAAGATCGTATATCTTTTAATAAACGCGTAGGACTGGCTGAGGTAGAAAACGTCAAAGGCAGAG